CCAGTAACATGAATATTAGATCTTTTGGTTTTGTCCCATTGGTCTCTGAGGTACTGTGCATTTTCTCTCCATTATTTTTTCTCTTCATTGTTCAGATTGAATAATTTCTGTTGAGTTATCTTCAAATTCACTGACTCTTTCCTGTGTCATCCCTGTTCTGGGATTGAGTCCATCCAATGAGTTCTTTATTTTGGTTATTTTACTTTTCAGTTATAAAATTTCAATTTTGTTGTCTTTAGCTTCTGTTTCTTTGTATTTAAGAATATTTCCCCTTACTTCTTGGTACACTTTTATATAAATGCTTTACAGCCTTGGTTAGTTAATTCCAGCATCTGTATCATATGTGCATTGACCTCTGTTATTGTCTTTCACATGTGAGTTGAGATTTTCCTGGTTCTGTGTATGCTGAATAATTTTGAATTGTATCCCCACATTTAGAATATTATAAGACTCTGGGTTTTGTTTAAATCCTATGCAGGATATTGATATTTTTGTTCTAGCAGGCAATAGAGGTAGTTGCGTTCAAGCTACAAATTCTAACCAGTATTCTGTGGGTTGTGGTTTCAATGTCTATTCTGTTTTCAAAGCATTTGTAGTACTATTTGGATCTATCTTCTATGTGTGCCACTACTCAGTGATTAGTCTGGGACATGTGTGGTGGCCCATCCTTTAGTTCGGTCTCAGAGTCTGTTTTTATTTTTTAAAGATTTTATTTATTTATCTGACAGAGAGAGACACAGCGAGAGAGGGAACACAAGCAGGGGGAGTGGGAGAGGGAGAAGCAGGCTTCCTGCTGAGCAGGGAGCCCGATGCGGGGCTCGATCCCAGGACCCTGGGATCACGACCTGAGCTGAAGGTAGCTGCTTAGCGACTGAGCCACCCTGGCGCCCCCGGAGCCCAGAGTCTTTGGTACAGTTTAGGCTCAGCTCTGGCTTGAGGGGGAGCTTAGGAGTATATAATCAACTTTATCTCTTACTTTCCTGAGTTTCTCTTTCTCCATGATCTCTGATCCTTCCTGGCTCCCTGGACTTCCTCTTTTACTGCCATCACCAGAAAGCTAGTGCTTTAGTTATCCTGTTCCGCTGCCTACTTCCTGAGACTGTGCCATGCCTGGGACCAAACAATAGAAGGACAGAGAGAAAACAACTGTGATTTTGCCCACACCTCTGGGACCACAGCTTCTCCATAGAGGAAGGTTTCCCTCCCTCAGAGATTTTGGTGCCTGTGGGCCCCCACTGCCATGGTAGTCATTACTACTGCTGGGGCAGCAGGATTTCCTGGGGCCTGGGGTCCGAGAGAACAGAGAAAAGAACAGGAAAAAGTGGCAGATTTCCTGGACACTCTCTGAACATTAGGAATTGCTTTTCCTGATCCTTGAGCCAGAACAGGACTGGAAAGCTTCTTCAAGAGCTTTCTCTGAGTCCTGGCACCCATTCCGAGTTTCAGGCTGCCTTACATCTAGTGACCAGGGGATTCTGATAGGGGAAAAAACAAAGCAGAAAACTCACTGCTGGGAGCACCTGGGTGGCTCAGGCAGTGAAGCATCTGCCTTTGGCTTGGGTCATAATCCCGGGGTCCTGGGATAGGGCCCCATGTTGGGCTCCTCACTCATCGGAGTCTGCTTCTCCCTCTCCCTCTGCCCCTCCCCCTGCTCCTGCGTGCTCTCTCTCTCTCTTAAATAAATAAAATCTTAAAAAAAAACAAACAAACAACTCACTGCTGATTTAGTGGTGCTTTGAGTTCTGGTCTTCTTTCCTAGTTCACCTGCTACTATTTATAGGCTTCAAAGAGTTGTTCCATGTGTTCCATCCAGGTCTCATAGGTACATTCAGTGAGAAAAGCACGGTAGAGTGTGCTTACTCCTTTTACCTAGAACTGGAATAACATATTTTATTTGCTGTTATGGACTGAATGTTAATGTCCCTCCAAAATTCATATGTTGAAGCCCTAACCCCCAATATGATGGCAATTAGAGATAGGGCCTTTGGGAGGTAATTAAGATTAGATGAGGTCATGGAGTTGGGGCCCTTATGATGGGATTAGGGCCTTTATAAAAAAGGGACACCAGAGGGCGCTTGCTCTTGTGCTCTCTCTCTTCCTCCCCCACTCCCTGCCATGTGTGCCATCTGCAAACCAGGAGCTGAACTGGCCACTCCCCTGATACTGGATTTCACAGCCTCCAGAACTGTAAGAAACTAAATTTCTCTTGTGTAAGCCTTTCAGTCTAAGGTACTTTGTTATGGCCATCCAGCCTCACTTAAGACGGTTGCCAAAATATTCATGAAAAAAGATCATGGCCCTACATATCGTGTCACTCTTCCCAATTCAGCCACAGCTTTTCCACATAGTTCTGCGTAGTTCCACTGAGCATATTTTCTGCAAGGTTTATTAATTTTTACTGAACTGAATTTCCAGACAGAAAAAGAAACAATCCCCTAAAACTAGACTGGTAGCTTTAATGCTTTTTATTGTCTAGTTATAATGTCTCAAATATGTATATTTTTTGATATGTCAATGTTTTGAATTAATTTGCTGCTTGATTGTTTGGGTCCTGGTCCCCTTGACTCAATTTGCTCCGTGTTTCACTGTCAATAACCTCAAGGCTAAACGGCCCAGGTCCTTTTTGGACCAATTATTTTTATTTATTTATTTTGTGTCTTTAAGAAGCTTATTTCGAAGTGCATATGGTGAGAAGCCCACAGTCCACTTCTTTCACATACAGCATGGTAAAATACCAGAAATGAGAGTAGTGCTGAATAAACGTAATTGAGTAGAAGGAAGATAAAGGAGCTACAGAACCCTGCTTCGCTCACTTGATAAAGGCTTGTCGTTGGCAGGTAATAGTTTTGAATAAATTCATATATGAAAATAAACAGAACACTAGTCATTCTTGACCATCAACAATGAAGGACAAGTCCTCATAATTGGAGTGGAATGAGGCTGGAACTAGGTTATTGTCTCAAGTGAGCCGAAGACTCTAGAAGTGAGCTTTGGTACCTAAGGCAGTTTCAGGTCATGCTCTATTGCTCTCCACCAGATGGACTTTCTTTTCCATTTTTTTCTCCCACTAATCTTTTCCATCTCACCTGTTCCCTTTTCTTTTTCCCCTTTGCACAAGCTTTTACCTCTATGAACTTGTGTTAATCTGTAGAGCAGGCTCTAAAGGAACCACTGATCCTCGAGGGTAATGCCTTTCCTTCCTCCGCCTCTCATCTCTTCTTTGCATGCTCTCTCCACTCCCATTCCTATTCCACCGTATTGTCCTGCTCCCTAAGACCGAGCTTTAGTTCTGCCCATGTTGGCAAGAAGGCATGGCTTTCACTCTGCTAGGGTTCCCTTGAAAATAAAAGCTCATTACTTATTCTAGAATAAGAATGCTGCAGCCCACCCCCACTAGAGTTTTATTAAACCATTACATTGTTCCGGAATTAATATGTATAATTTGTGAAACTAAACCTCACTTGTGATTTGGCCACTTCCATCTTAGAGAAAATCAAAAGAGCAGTATTAGAAACAAATAATTTCACCAGAACCTGTTTGAAAGAGAAGAGTTAGCCTCTTGAATAAAATTATGAGTCCACATTCTGGGCATTTTGGTTACTTATGCTGCAGCTGAGGAAAAGGTAAGGTATATTACTGTGTTTGGTTTGTAATTAAAACAGTATCATAGGCTCCGCTCCCCACTCCCACCCCCTTCAGAGCACAGAATATTAACTAAGATGGACATTTCCTCTGTTGATGTTCCCTCTGGGAAACAAAAGATAGAAATAGTGAGAAAGGCCTTTCCAGATAATACCTCACACCAAAGTATTGAAAGAAAAGGTTCATATAACATGACATGATAATGTCATGTAATATATGAATATTATTACCTAAGGATTATATTATATCCAGCTGATAAGTTGTATTTGTATGTTTAAGTGTGTATTTGAAAAAGTACGTAATCTTTCAATTATTGAGTATATAAATCCTTAACTGAGTGTCTGGTAAAAAACTGTGCTAGGCATTGTGAGAAGGACAAAGGTTTACACAAGAGGGTTTTTTTTTTTTTTCCCCCTAACCTTCAAGAAACGTCAGTGCAAAGCGGGAGTAGCTTCACTGAAGTGAAGACTGAGATGGGGCTAGGAGGTGTCAGGGCTGAAGCTCGAGAGTCTAGGTGCCCTTTCGGTTCTGTTACTGTACCTTCTGACTGCTGTGAATCAGGGGGGTTCTTGGGGAGCCCCAGCTGGTTTGCTCTTTGCACAGTTCAGCTGGGATTAGCATCCTTCTAGTTGGTAGGAGACATTATCCAGGAAACTATCTAGCCCGCGGGGGAGGTGGCATCTTCTGAACCAGCACCCCCCCACCCCCCCCGCAGAGAACTTTGAATGGGTGGAAGAAGGAGTTCGTGTGCATTCTTGCTCATGTCACAGTGTTGGGCCTGTGACTCAAGCATGTGGCAGGTCACTGTGATTGGACCATTGGATCACCAGGCCCTGACTTTAGAGTGGCCAATGCTGCTTGTTTAAACTCTTAACTGCCTCACAGGTACGACATAAGATATATCAATAAAAAACATAAAATTATTTTTTATTTATTTTTTTAAAGATTTTATTTATTTATTTGACAGAGAGAGACACAGCGAGAGAGGGAATACAAGCAGGGGGAATGGGAGAGGGAGAAGCAGGCTTCCTGTGGAGCAGGGAGCCCTATGCGGGGCTTGGTCCCAGGGCCCTGGGACCATGACCTGAGCTGAAGGCAGATGCTTAACAACTGAGCCACCCAGGTGCCCAAGACATAAAATTATTTTAAAAGTACTGTTTATTGGGACATCTTGAAGGACTGGGGTGAAGGGAGTGCTTGTTTCCTTACCATCTCCTATCTGGCACGTGTTGATAATTATTCGCCACTCATTCAGCATTTACTGAAAGCTTACCAAATGGCAGACAGCGTGCAAGGTGTTGGAGGGGGCAGCCAGGCAAGAGCAAAGGAACAGAAGCTCTCTCTTCTCTCCGTAACAGCTCACAGCGGACACTCCTACAGTGTTTACCACGTGCCAGGCTTGTTCTGAGTGCTGCATAGCTCCGCACCTAACCCTTAGAACAGCCCCATCCGCTAGAACTAGTACTGTCCCCATGAGACGCTGGATGACCCTGGCCTGCAGGGAGATGGACCAGCTTGCCAAAGATCTCACAACTGGTATGCGGCAGAGCAAAATTTGAAAGCAGACCGTCTGGCTCTGGAAACTGTGCTTTTAACCTCCACGCCAAATAGCTGCTCAAGGAATTTATGGTCTGAGTATACATGGGTAAGTACGTCCATTTTCAGGGTGAGGCAGCGAGGAATGATGTAGAAGGAAGACAAGAAGTGACTCAGGTTGAGTGTGTTTGCCTAAACGAACACCAAGAGTGTCTGACTGGAGAAATGCTCCGTTCCGTGCCCCAAGGAGAAGAATGGAATGACAGGAAATTATTAAGTACGGCGAAAAGTTGGAAATATTTGCCAGCAATGGCAAATGCAGTTTAATTTTATGTCCAGGGCTGCGAAGGGCTACAACCCTGCGCCCTCCTTTCACACACACACTGTGAGGGTCAATGAATACAGGCCTTCCAGTGACATCGTTTTCTCCCTTTTCTCCGCTTTGCTAAGGGGCGAAGGTGCGAAGGCTGCTTCCCCGTGGAGGTTCGTGCCTGTGGGGGCGTGTCTAGGAAACTGATGGGATGGGTCTTCTGGGAGAGTACTTGAAGCATACTGGGAACCTTCGGGAGCAAATTGCTGAAGGTGGAAGGCTGCAGAAATGATCATCAAGCCTCAGATGTTACAAGAGAGGGATGACTTTTCAGTCAATGCTTGGGGTAGAGAGGAGGATAGGGTCAAGTTGTAAGAAAGACAGAAGATGTATTTGTGTAGATCACTTAACAGTGTATGTTATCGATAAATATTCTTTATCATTTATATAATATATAATATGTAAGTACTTACTCCAGGCTGTCCTTATAAAACCATGTTTGCAGAGACCAAAGAGAGAAAATGTAAACATACCAGAGGTCTTCGCAAGACCTTATATATGCCCTTTAATGACCTTCTACATTTCTAAATGTTATCAACAAATGTTAGTAATAAATGGTGGTGGATAGTATCATTATTGCTCTTATCCCCATTTTTTGTTGTCACTAATTTTATATTGTGGTCAGTTGGAAAATAGGATTTACTTTTGGAACTATTCAGGGGCGCCTGGGTGGCTCAGTTGGTTACGAGACTGTCTTCGGCTCAGGTCATGATCCTGGAGTCCCGGGATCGAGTCCCATATTGGGCTTCCTGCTCAGCAGGGAGTCTGCTTCTCCCTCTGACCCTCCCGCTCTCATGTGCTCTCTCTCTCTCTCTCATTCTCTCTCAAATAAATAAATCTTTTAAAAAAAGAGAAACTATTCAAATATTTAAGTAGATTTTTCTAAACAGAAAGAGAGGAATGAAATTCGGCAAGGAACTTAGTTGTTATTAGTGGGCATTATGGATTTTGCATTCCTACAGAAACAAACTTGTGAACTAGGATTTTATTATCCTAGAATGAATTTCTTGCTAAGAGTCACTTTCTGCTTATCTCACCATTTGATATTTGCAAGATCACTAATATTTCCTCTGCCCACCCCACATAACCTTACTTCTTCCCAGGCAAGTAGAGAGATTTCAGAAAGACAATGAGGAAATTCTTTTCCTTCTAATTGGTTCTTTGGCCCTTTTAATCCCCCTCCCTCCACTCCCGGCAGGGCGTTAGTCATTAAAATGCATCAGACAACTGTGGTGCCTTCAGGATCATAACCGTGATATGATCACGTTACACACCCATTCAAAGTTCTCTGCTCCAGGGTCAAGGTTTGGATGATGTCACATAGCCTATGGAGCTCCTGCCTCCTCGACTGGTTTTTCTGTTGTGAGAAGGATAGGAAGGAGAGAAAGATGAACCCCCTGTAATTCTGAGGATCACATTTCACTAGAGTCTGGTAAATCTCGAGATACTTCCCTGTTGATATATTTATCTAATTTATTCCTATTAACCTGGCATGTAATAGTCCATTGCATGAAAATACCACATTTTATTCAGCCATATTGATGGACATTTAGGTTCTAACTTCTTGCTATTTCAAATAATATTGCTATGAACATCCCTATGTAAGTGTTTGTATGACATCTATGAAAGTTTCTGTAGAGTAGGGGTCTTCAAACATTTTACCCCACAATTTGGAAAAACTTTTCCTCCTTACACATTTTAGAATTGGAATCAAACTTTTTATCATAACTTTTAGTTGCAAAGGAATTAATTTCTTTGTAATGGAAACATTAACATTTAAAAGTAGAATTCTTTGGGCACCTGGGTGGCTCAGTTAAGCATCCGACTCTTGGTTTCGGCTCAGGTCGTGATCTCAGGGTCTTGGGATGGAGCCCTGCGTCTGGCTCTGTGCTCAGCAGGGAATCTGCTTGATACTTTCTCTCCCTGTCCCCCTGCCCTGGTCCCCGGCTCTGGCTCGCTCTCTCAAATAAATAAATAAATCTTTCAAAAAATAAAAGTGGAATTCTTAAATGTATCCAATGGTGTATAAGTACCATAGTGATCTGATACTCACCATTATCCATCACACATTAACGATATGAACAAGGTGTCTTACAGTGGGAAATTCTACGTCACTTCTTTTTCTTTTGGGACTTGAGCTTTCTACTTGTCACAGGCTTTTATTTGAATGTAACATACATTATATGTGTTATGTGTGAGTGTTTTTTATTGATCACGTTACCATATTTCTCTATAACAAATTTTATATATAAACTTAAATTACATTAAATTTCTTTGACCATAATACTCCAAAGTGTTAACAATTTTTCTGAATTGAGTTATTATTTTTAGTTCATAATCGACCAATTAAATGCTTTTAAATGTTGATCACATTGAAACATAAAAAATATCAATGGAACTTTAAGAAATCAGTTTGTATATCATGAACGAATTTTACTTATTTCTAGGAGACGGGTTCAGCATCAGTTTACGCCCAGTTTTTGCTTTTATATTATAAACCCCGAGGACTATCATTCACGTACATCAATAAGTAGATGACGGTTGGAATAAATTGAGTAAGTGATGTTACTCATTTATTTGAAAGCTTTCCACATTGTATGCCCCACATCACTTAGTGGTGTTATTTTTAATGATTTATCAGTGGGCAGTTTGCTTAAGTCTTCCTTCAGTTCCCTAGGAAACAAGAAATGTTAAACTAATGTTCAAAGTGTTTGTTAGTCAGTAGACTCATTCAGATTCTCAATGTTGATATTATTTCGGATCGTCTCTTTAGCTTCTTGCAGGTTTTTAGCCTTTGGGGCAACATATCCTTGAGCATTCAGATAGAGAAGACAGGTGTGCCTTTCTCTTCTAAAGAGGGAGAAAGGGCTACTATGAATGGGAGGTAGGGATTAGGAACCACAGGGGTGCTTGACTCCACGAGTTCTCAGGTAGTTCAGACATGGAAGATAAAGATCTGGAATTATCCCCTTGAAAACGATCTGTGTGCCTCCGTTCTCCAGTTTGAAACTCCTACTCTGAGGTTTATCCCCAGCAGCAGAATTGCTATTGTTAGAGTCTCCTACGCTATGTGACCATTTCCCCAAACCCACGTCGCTGAGGACATTGCTCTGCTTCTCAAGGACTCGGGAGAGTTTCCCTCTGAGAATCCCCATATGTGATTCATAGTTTTCTAACTTTGGGAAAATCCCATGATCACTGTATTTAAATGACTGGTGGCCAGTGAGTGGTAATCCACCAGAGTACTAGGAGACATTTAATTTCTATAATTTGCTTTGGGACAACCTCTGAAAGTATTTTCATTCATAACTTTATTTCTTTTAAAGGGCATCATGAGTCTCCATCAACCAAGGTGGTACAAAAACAGCACTCTACTTGGTTTGTGTTCTGTGCCCTGAAGCAGAAATGCGTTTAATTGTTCATTGCAAAATAAACAGATGTCTAGAGGAGAAGGTTATTAAAAATATTTTGTGCAGTTTGGAAGAACTAGAGGTCAGGATTGCTTGACCTAGCGTCTCCAAGCAAACCCCAAGTCAAGTAAGCTGCCAAGGTAAGTGAGCTACTAACATATAGCTTATTCTTTGGGCAAAACTTTCTGTTTTCCAAATTTCTGGATATAGTTAAAAGGGACAATACATTTCAAAAATAGAGTAACGGTCCTCCTCAGGCAGAAGAATTCTACTTTAAAAACAGAAGATTTAATGTGCCAAATTCAAATCATAAGGAAAGCTTGCCCAGTTAATAGGACAAATGCCTCAACATTGTAAAATAAACAGGACTTGAAATGCAGACAATCCTATTTTACAGTTACAAGTTATTTAAAAAATATAAAGACTGAATAATAGAGCAATAAAATATATTACAGTTAGCAAGTCTGTAAGGACACATTAATAATGAGATAGATCTTCATTAAGGCCTCCCTTCCACTTGCTCCAACAGGTGACCTAGGAAGAGGGTGGCCCTATGAGCTCTAGCAGCCAATGGCCTGGGACCGCACCCTGGGAGGCAGCCAAGACAAAGGTACTATGTCCAGGAAAGAAATTTCAGATAAGACTTAAGTTTTAGAGCTAAGAAAATAAGGGTTTGTTTGTTTGTTTTCTCCTTAGAAAAATAGACTGTTTCTATCTCCTAACTTCCTGCTTCCTCCCAAGTTCCCCAGCTTCATAAAATTTATGTTAAGAATTTGAAATATTCCCAAATTAGTTGTTAAGTATCACGACCTTTTGTTTACAGATCTCCTTTTCCTCTTGGGTTTCCTGAAATGTAAAGCCTGTACACACATATATATTTTTAAAGATTTTATTTATATGACAGAGAGAGAGAGAGCACAAACAGGGGAGAGGGGCACAGGGAGAGGGAGAAGCAGACTCCCCGCTGAGCAGGGAGCCAGATGTGGGGCTGGATCCCAGAACCCTGAGACCATGACCTGAGCCAAAGGCAGCCGCTCAACCCATTGAGCCGCCCAGGCACCCAAACCTGTATATCTTTTAAGAAATGCAACATACTTAAGTACAACGAATTAGCAAAAATCCACCAAAGAAAACTGTTTACCTCTTGTATTTAGAAAAGATAAAATTTCCCTCAGCTAGATCTGACAACATTAGGTTTTTCTATGGTATTCTTTCTGAGGTTGCTATAAGATAGAAAAACCTAAATCACAATGAGAGTACCTTTTGAACTTACTAATCCTAAGGCGTCGTTAACAAGAAGGCTATGATGGGTAGGATCTAGAAGTGCTTTATTTTGTCATTAAGTGGAACCATGGAAATTAAACAGTGCCCCCCCCTCTCCACTGGGCCCCACTAGGTTAGGTTTAAAAAATTAAATGTAAATTAAGGATACCATATTCACGTGGTTGAAAAATCAAAAGGCACAGAGCAATAGCATAATATACAATGGGAGGTACGGGCCTTGGAGCCATGTAATTGGGCAGTGATGCGAATGTCCCCTTCCTACTGTCTCCTAGCCGCATCAGTATCTTAATATGGAGAATTTTTTTTTTTTTTGAGAGAGAGAGAGTGTGTGTGGTTGGGGTGGGTGGGGGCAGAGGGAGAGAGAGAATCTTAAGCAGTCTCCATACCCAGGCACCCCAATAAGAGAATCTTGAAATGTAGAGGTGAGTAGGAGGAAAATGGGCATAGGACGAAAGACAATGGCAAGAAAGAGGGCAGGGAAAGGAGAGTAGAAGGATGGAAGGAAGAGGGTGTGTTAGTCCGTTTGGGCTGCTACCACTAACACGGTAGCCTGGGTGGCTTCGAGGCAATGGAAATCTACTTGCCACAGTTTGGGAAGCTGAAAGTCCCAGATCAGCCTGCCTGCAGGATCGGGTTTGGTGTCTGGTGAAGGCGAGCTTCCTGATTCAGAGATGGCTGTCTTCCACAGGTGACCTCACCTGGCGTGGTGGAAGGGGGCGGGAGCTCTGACAGGCCTCTTTCCTAAGAGCACTAGTCCCATTCGTAAAGGCTCCACGCTCACGACCCAATCACCTCCCAAAGGCCCACCTCCTAATACCATTACCTGGGGGTGAGTTTCAACCTAAGATTTCGGGGCGGGGAGGGGCACACACATTCAGTCCATGGCAGCATGGAAAAACCGAGGCTGTACACAAAGGATCAGCACCTTTCCCAGTCCTCTCTTTCAATTGTCCTTTCAGTGTATGTGTATTTGTATAAGAATAGAAGAGGAAGGGGCGCCTGGCTGGCTCAGTCAGTGGAGCATGCGACTCTTGATCTCAGGGTTGTGGGTGTGAGCACCATACTGGGTGTAGAGATTGCTTAAAAAAATAAAATCTTCGGGTGCCTGGGTGGCTCAGTGGGTTAAGCGTCTGACTTTTGGTTTCGGCTCAGGTCATGATCTCAGGGTGATGAGATAGAGCCGCATGTCAGCTCTGCGTTCAGTGCAGAGTCTGCTTGAGATTCTCCCTCTCCCTCTTGCCCCTCCCCCAGCTTGCTCTCTCTCTGTCTCTCTCTCTCTAAAATAAATAAAATCTTTCAAAAATAAAATAAAATCTTTAAGAGAAAAGAATAGAAGAGGAAGAAATGGGAAGAGTAAAGGGAAAAAAAAAGACCTTTATCTGGGGAAGTGTATTAGTGAGCCACTGGGAATTCTTAACCACATGAACGTGTCACTCGAATAAACTTCTCTGTATTGCTCTTTCCTCTCCAATCCCTTTTATCTAGTCTCAGCCAAGTATATTTTATTATTTTGAGGTTTAGGTTTTAGGGGAAAGTTCAGAACTAATAGGTGACAATATTCGTGGAAGAGAGGCAAGCAGGGATGCAGCCTCTCCTACTCTCATACCAGAAGCAAACTAACCCTTCTCTGGGGCAAACTGGCCTGGTGAAATCCAAAGTTCAACTGTCTCTCTGCAATGACCTGTTCAGACTTCAAAGAGACCCGTTGGGTGGTGTTGCGTCCTGCTGGACATGCCCCGTTGACTATGCCGTGCACCATTTACACCGTCTCTGGCTCATCAGCAGGTGGCAGTGTTCCCTCTATTCCCGACGGCGTTGGCCTTCCCTTCCTTTTCTTTTTTTTTTTTTTTTTTGTCAGGCCACATATAAGGGCTGCCTCTTGAACGTCCTTGGGAAATACTCTCCCAATGATCCTAGCACTGAGGAGGAGAGGCAAATTAGCAACACATAGCAATTCGTGTTTTCACATTTGATCTTTAGAACCCTAATCTCCTGGTCTAATGAATTGCCCCACTTCAGGGCAAGAGAGTGAGCATCAGTAATTGTATTGTTTACTTATCCCTCTCTTGCCCTATTCTAGACTCTATTTAGGGGCCTCAGGCAGTCTTCTTGTTCCCTTCATTCACTCCTGTTCAAGGCTTGAAAACTTAAAAGCTATCTGTAACCAAATTTCTCTCTAATTAACTTGTTTGGGTTTTTATCAAAATGAGGTTTTCTTCCCATCTTTATTCACCGATGGACTAACAGGAATTTTCCCAGGCTGCAATGCAGGGTCCCTCACTGAATAGCTAAGTAATCTGGGCATATAAACCCTTGGGGCTTCAGTTCATGTGTAAAATGGGATTGGTGAACTAAGGGACTTTTGAGGTTTCTCCTAGCTCTTACACTCCCGGATCCCAAAGTAGTCTGCCCCTGCCTTGAATCGTGGTTGTACTATGATACCAGATGAGTGTTTCTTATGTTTTCTTTGAGCAGCAGAAGTTATTCAATAGCACAAAGAGTCAGAGTAGATTTAGGGGAGGCAGTTGATCTAGGGAGAGAGGGTACTCAGGGTAAGGTGCACACATCAGCCACACTAGACGCCATTTATGACAGATATTCTCAAGTATTTCTGTGGCAGTGGACCCCAAACAGGCATTCAGTCTTAAATGCTAGAACTCCCTTAGCATGCTCATTTATTTGAAAATGAAATCAGGGTTGAGCTCTCTCCCTGGTTTATTTGATATTCTTCTGATAATGGGCATTTGTTGATTTTTAGACTTAATTCTATTGGGCAAGGTCACTTTTTTACCTTATGAAAACACTAAAGGATCATTGTAAAGAACCTTCAACCCATACAGAAAGATATGGAAAGAGAAATTCTCCTCCCTCTGAAGCCCTCCCTCCCCATCCTGTAGTCAGAGATAAGCAGTGTTATCTTCTCTCTTGTTTATTCTCTTGGATATTTTCCATGGGTTTATGCAAACACAGATATATGTATTATCCCTTCTGTTTTATTTCACTGAATTTTCATGGATAATTTTGTGGCATGCATTAATCCTGGAGTAGAAATATGCATGTAACATGGATGAGAGAGCCAGTGAAGAAATTATAGGATTAGGGAACAAGATAGATAACAAAAAGAAAATAGTTGCTAATCAAATTGTCAACTGATAGCAATGATTCTTTTTTTTTTTTTTTAAGATTTATTTATTTGAGAGAGAAAGCACAAGTGGGGAAAGAGACAGAATCCCAAGCAGACTCCCCAATGAGCATGGAGCCCATACTCAGGGCTGGGTCTCAGGACCCTGAGATCACAGCCTGAGCCGAAATCAAGAGTCAGATGCTTAACAGACTGAGCCACCCAGGTGCCCTGATAGCAATGATTCTTAAATGAATGGGGGGAAATCAGGGGGAGATGAACCACGAGAGACTATGGGCTCCAGGAATCAAACTGAGCATTCTAGAGGGGAGAGGGGTGGGGGGATGGAGTAGCCCGGTGATGGGTATTAAGGAGGGCACGTATTGTGTGGAGCACTGGGTGTTATACGCAAACAATGAATCATGGAACACTACATCAAAGACTAATGATGTACTGTATGGTGACTAACATAACATAATAAAATTATTAAAAAAATGATAGAGCTTCCAGGAAGAACTGACCATGGAAGATTGTTTTGAGGAGACATTTCTAAAGGAGTGGGCTGGGGTCATGGTGGGAGAGGACCACCAGCGATTCCTCCATTTTTTTCCATGCTTACTACTAAGAGGTAGAGTCTCTTCCCCTCCCGGGAATCTTGACAGCCTCCGTTACTTGCTTTGGTCAAAAGAACAAGGCAAAAATGATGCTATTCCAGTTCTGGGCCTAGACTTGGCAACTTTAGTTTTTGCTCTCTTGGACAATAATCACCATGTAAAGAACACTGACAACTGTGCTGAAGAGGAAGGCCTCATGGAGGCAGCGTGTCTCTGGAGGATGAGACCTTCCAGAGGGAGACAGGCCCAGCCCCTCGCTATTTCAGCCATTCCAGCTGAACCACTAGCCCTGTGCTCGAAGTCATCTCGGGTCCCCTAGCCCCAGTCAAGCTGCCCCAGCCAACAGTACACGAAGGAAAGACAAGCTGTCACCATTGTGTTCTGTCCATAGTGCAGAATGGTGAGCAAGAAAATGGTCCATACTGTTTCAAGATGCCACACTTTTGGGTAGTGTGTTATGCATAGTAAATAATGGAAATCAATGTCTGGGAGTTGGATGTTGGCTTAACAAAAATCTAAGACACGTGGCATCGGCTTTGGGAGCAGGCATGGGGTAGAGGTTGGAGAGGTGAAGAAGAAACCTCTCTTTTTTTTTAATTCACTATTTTTTTTTAAATTTCTATTTTGAAACAATTTTAGACTTACACAAAAGTTGCAAAACTGGCACAGAGTTCATGCATGTTCTTCACCCAGCTGCCCAAATAGTGATAAATTGCATAGCCAGAGAATAATGATCAAACCCAGGAAATTGACATAAACCACAGACCTTGTAGGAACTTTGCCAGTTTTTCTGGTAATGTTCTTTTCCCGTTTCAGAATCCAATCCAGGATCCTGCGTTTGCATTTAGTTGCTGTACCTCCTTGGTCTGGGAAGGAGACTCTCAGTGGAGGCTCTGAGGGTCATGAGGAAGTCGTATTGCAGGCTGGAGAAGTGGTGCTGTGTAGTAGCAAAGTGTTTGGCATCCCTTGTGAGCAGTAAAACACAGAAGACAGAAAATGTACCTAATGAACTTGTAGATCTGGCAAAGGGGAGTTTCAAGCTGCACGTTCAGAGTATCAGTTGGCTTCTTTTAGTGATGTGTGATGGTGTTACTAGAGAGAGAGAGAGAGATGTGTTAAAAAAGGAACTATTCCGTTTTCAAGCAGAATGTAGAGGAAATAGGGCCTTGGAGATTCTGTGTTGTCAGCAACAGTCTCAAAGGAAGAAATGGCCTTAGGGGCCTGCCTTTCGAATGTGGCCTCGAGGTAAAAATCCAATCCAGACTATGTTGAAGCCTCTACACATTAAGATGTTTCATAGACCCTCTCATCTAGCCAAAAGGGCTTCTAAGAAGAATCTTCAGGGGAGTCCAACAGCAGCTACTTCGACAAGGCCCAAAGTAGACAGAAGTTTGTTCTTGGAAGAATTATACATGTTGCTTTGTGGGCAGAGTTGTCGAGGGCAAGAAGTAAACTCTGTTAAGACTCATAGGAAACCCTCAAAATGTTGAAGACAGCTCTATTGATGAAACCACCGCTAGCATGAACTAAAGAGGAAAGAGACAGTTCAAAACGTAAAAAACAAAACAAAACAAAAAAAAACCATCGGGCCCCCAACTTTCTGTGGACAGGACCCAGGCCGAGAGAGCTGTTGGACCATAAAGGGCAGGCAGTGGCTTATGGACAAGGAAGCCTCAAAGGTCATAGTCTGCACCCCGGAGCAGGGAGCCAGGAACAGTGGTTTGGGAAGCAGCTCCTGGGGAGAAGAACAAGCCCCTAATGGTGGGGCGGTCTGGGTTCCCAGAGTGAGGGTGACAGTGCTCAGCTGGCTTTCAGAACTGCTAGGGCTGGTGGCTGCTCTGTGCCTTCTCGCTCCCCCGCTTTGAACACGAGTGTCTGTTGTAGTTAACTTATCCCTGTCTCAGCATCGTACGTTGTGTCTGTAACTCGTCTTTTCAGCTCACAGGTCTCTAGAGGAAGAGGAGCAGCATCTAAAATGCCTCCACCACACCTGGGCCTAGTGTCTACCATTAGATCCTGGTCCTTAGAGCCAGTGCTACACAGAACGACAGTGTGGGGGGAGGGAGTGTACTCCACAAGTCTGTGTGTGTGGGCGTGTGGGTGTGAATTATTGTGGCCAAAGGGTGGCTTATGACAGAGTGTTTCCCCCTATGACTGCCAACAGCTCCTCTCATTCCAGACACTCCTTCCATTAGGGAGTGTGGTCTCTTTCCTGTCCCCTTGGGTCTGGGCTGGCCCTGTGACTGCCTTTGGCCAGGAGAGTACAGGGAAAGTGATGTTCTGGGACTTCCAAGCCCTGGCTTTCACTGACCTTGTAGCTTCCGCTTTTTCTTTCTTGGGATCCAGGCTGTAAAGAATAAGTTTATAAAAAAGCCCAGGCTGGCCCACCGAATGATGAGCGATCATGCTGCCTGCCATCTTGGCTGTTCCAGCCCCAGCCAAACTCACAGCTAGAGGTGACCACATGTCTGACCCCAGCTGCGTCATGGGAAGGCAGAAGAACCACCCAGCTGTGCCCTTCCCAAATTGCAGAATCGTGAGCAAAGAAGGGGTGGTGGTCCTTTTCAGGCACAGAGCTTATGATGGTTTGTTAGGCAGCAATGGTCGTTGAAGCCATTACCAAATGTCAGGGTTCTTTTGACTGCTTTAACTTTACTCCAGGGGCTGTGAAGAGGTTGTAACAGTGTCAGATAAAGAAGCCAAGTTTCAAGGAGACTCAGTTCCGTAAAGGCTGGACCCTATATGCCACAGTCACGGCTCTGTCCACAGAGCTTTGCACAGAATGAACATGTGATATATGCCCAGATATATGTTGATTGGACAATTAAATGAATGAATGGAGATTAAAGATGCCACACCATGAAAAAGAAAGACAAAAAAGATACTCTAAACAGAGTTTGTCTCATTCCCTTTTTTCTTTCAAAAAGGTGCTCTTCGTTTTCAGAAACAGTGATGCCTTGGAAACCAGAAGGATGTTCTGAAGGGAAAGATTTGTAGGAGTGAGGCACAGGGCAACCTTGAATCCTTCTCCATGTCCCTCCTACACCTTGAAAAAAGAGGGCCACTCTGGGAAACACCTGGCAAATGCCTCAACACCTGCTGGTAGATACAAATTATTATCTTTTTCTATTCTTGGAAGAGCTAAAAGCAGAATATGTGTTCCAAAGGACTATAGTTAGAGTTAATACCAAAAGGACCAGAGTAGAATAACCAATAGCCAGTGTTAGGTTGGAGAGTAAAACAGTCAATGCTGATTTGTCATGTTAGGTCTTCTCTTTCCCATCACTCTCTGGTCCAAGTCACAATTTCTGAATGCAACTTGGACCCAGCACATGCCTATTCTGCTCTGTGGTTCTCCCAGGAATACCTGGCCCCATCCTCATTTCTCTGAGAGTGATAATTTCATATAGCACACCTCTCTACTGGGACGTGAAAGGAGACCCAAGTGCTGTGTGCGATAGCTCCAGGAGAGCTTAGAGACAAGAAGGGAAAGTTCTTTTTTAGGGTTACTTGCAGTGCCTTCTGGAGAAGTACCTTCTGGAGACATGTCTTGGGCAAAACATCTTTATTTAAAAGAATAGCAATATTACTACTGAGTATCTACCCCAAAGATACAAATGTAGGGATCCGAAGGGGTATGTGCACCCCAATGTTTATAGCAGCAATGTCCACAACAGCCAAACTGGAAAGAGCCAAGATGTCCATCGACAGATGAATGGATAAAGAAGATACAATGGAATATTATGCAGCCATAAAAGGAATGAAA